ACCGTAGAGCTGCGTTCAGTAGTTTGGGAGATGTTACTTGATAATTGAATTTGGAGATTGGTCGTGAGACCGACCACGAGTCCGGCCGTAAATTCGCCCGAGACGTCCTTAGGTTTCTAGTGCTGAAACAGTTAAAACAGCTGAAAAACATGTTGGTTCACTAAATGGGGTCTATTTGTGAAATAAATATTTGTGTTTAACCTTTTTCTTTTGAAATTGCAGCGTACTAGATTTCTGGAAAGAGGCGTATGTCTGTGGGGGGCGCTAGAAATTCACTGGGGAGCCAAAGGGGGCGCCAGCCTGAAAAAGTTTGGGAACCACTGATCTAGCTCTAGAAGAAATGAGAGTGAGCAAGATTGAAATGATTTTACCACGTTTTTCTTAGCTCGCTTTCGTGTCCTTCTGTCTGTGATGATCAAATCATGCAATCGATATTTCACCAACTTTTCCGCTAGCTAGCGCTCTGAAACTTTTAGGGAAGCTCAGCTCCCGATGACAATACAATAATCGATAATTTGTTGCACGTTTCCAGGCGTATTTATGCAATGAAATGTCTTTATTACAGCCACGCACCCAGATAAATACGGGAACAACAATGTATCCCCTCGAATACAATTTTCTACAGAACTTCGAAAAGAATTTTCTTTCGTGCATTTGCGTGGCCAACTGAAATAAAATGTGTTTTTCATGTGTAGCAACGGACTAAAAAGGAGAAAATAAAATACTTAAAAAAAAACTGGGTCGGGCAGATTTATGATTAAAGTGAAAAGCACACAACACACGAATTTTGGAAATTTGATGGTGAACGTACAGCCCGACCCACGTTTTTTGGGGCGAGCCATAATTTATTTTCTACTTTTTAGTCCACAAGAAAAACGTGGTTTTTTAAAAAGTTTATTTTAAGTATTTTATTTCATTCCGTGTTGGTAAACATGGCTGGGTCGCTTTGGTTTCGAGGTCACTCTGGTGCCCGGCTGTCAGTCACTGTTAGAGTTGCCTCTGCTGAGGGGATATCAAGCAGACTTGCTGAAAATGAGTTCATCCGCTGAAGATTCATTAGAATCGTCTTCACAGCCATCTTCAGGTACGTTTATTCAGTTATAAAAATGTTAAATGTGGACAGTACAACAGCGAACCAAGCTCCAATTTTCCTCTTAATGTGAGAGTTGTCTACTCATTTTAGCATTATTTTAGCTCAATAACTTTAGTCGCCTAATAGCGATGCATTTGAAGTATGTTATGCATGAAAAGCATCAAAATCCGTAGTACTCTAAGCTTACCACTTCGTTATTTACCTTTCTGATTCGTGAGGTAATGTTGATCAATTTTATAATAATATGGACGAGAGTTGCCGGTCACAGTTATCAGTGGAACGATTAATTGTGTATCGTCGCGCGTGAACGGGTATAGAATAGAATAGAAGTGTCGGCATTGAAGAAATAGGCCCATGGCCTGTTGCCGATTCTTGAACTTTTCGTGACTTGATTCACAAGGGATCCGGCCTTTGGAACCCGATCTTTCCATAACTGAAGGGAGCGCAGCCCTACACCACAAATTAAGCTCGTAAACAAGCCCTGGCGCCAACGCCTACCCTATAATGCAATAACTAAACTCAGCTCACACCCAAGAAGCTGTAGGTAACTGAGTCATCTCCCCACACCAACTTTAAGCACCATCTACCTCACTCCACAGCCCTGATGAATCAAATAGTCAATTGTCAACAGGTCCTACTCCACAGAATTTTATGCCATACTATCACTTCTTACACACGCTGTAAGCCTTACTGGTCGCAGGCCACGCCGGATCATCGTAAACCTGCTCTGCTATTTGCAGGACTGGCGTAATCCCGCCGCACTCCATGGGCAGAAGCGCAAACCGCCGTCCCTATAACGCCATACCCCGGCTCTCCCCCTTCGCAGCCATAAGGCTTTCTTCAATTGCTGATCAGTTGTGCGCCAGGATAGGTTAGGTTAGGTTTGGTTAGGTTAGGTTAGGTTAGGTTAGGTCCCTCCATCGCACCAGGCGCATTACTGATCGGGCAACGAGAAAAGCCTTCTGCTGGCTGCGAAGGGGCAGAGCCGGGGCATGGCGTTATAACTAAAGGACGGCGGTTTTGCGCTTTAGCCTGTGGAGTAGAGCGCCATGAAGCAGTGGCTGTGACGTAACGGCGCTGTTATGTCAGGCGCTTATTTTCAAAAGCCGCGAATACGCCAGGCTGTGTTTAATACAAGCACGCAACAGTTAGGCTATTTGCCCACGGCTATTGCTTCGGTGGCTTGATGTTATCTGGCTGATTGATTCGTATCCAGGAAAGGAAATGACGCCTATGGCTTTAGGCACTTAATCACACAGGCTAATATGCCCTCTAGCGTGATTACGAGCGGAAAGGAATAGATATTGAATTGTGTGCAAGGGCTATGTAGCGGTCTATACTGCGTCCCTAACTGAAGATTGATTGAGAATTGAGATAGCTGCTGGACTTATTGCCTGGTCCGTAATTTGTCTGTGTGTAGGTGGGTGGTTGCGTAGGTAGTGGCACGGGTGTTGTGTGTTGTTTATGGCTGCGGCTATGAATTGTGTTCCTCTCATGTCGAGGTGTGCTTTTATGGGAAGTATTTTTGTTTCTGCATGAAGGTGTTGTTTGGGGGTGCTTTGTGTGCAGCCTGTGACTATCCTGAGTGCTTTGTTTTGTAGTGTTTGGAGTTTCTGTATGTTTGTATTGGATAGTGCGGGCGCCCAGGCGGGGCTGGCATAAGCCAGCACTGTTCTGATGAACTGTTTGTATGTTGGAGCTAGTGTTTCTTTGTTTTTGCCGAATTTGGTACCGCCTATGGCCCGAAGTGAGTTGTCTGATGTTTGCGTTGTTCACTATGTTGTTGATGTGAGGGCCGAATGTCATGGAGGTGTTTTCTAGGAGTTTCGTGTAAGAAACCAACTGACACAACAGCGGGGTTTTGTGAGGGTGAACGGTGTCGTGACTGGTACCACGTAGCCTGCATTTCAAACCGTAGGAGGCAAAGTAAGGGTAAGTACTTGTGTCCCTTGTGCGCAAAATCAGAATAATATGCACAATGTTTAACGTGAAAATGATAAAGTAATATTAAATTCCATTCTAGTTGAAAACATTTCATCCAACAAAGAAATCAAGTGGAACTTATTTTAATGGAAAGGGATCATGAGATTATAACGAGATCTGTGCTTCTATTTTATCAATCGTGCAATGCAACTATGAACAAAAATCATGTAGCTTGAAAGTTTAAGAGCAATGGAATTAATATAAATTTTGCTGATTTCACTTTTTTTTAACCATAGAAGCTTTAGCACCTCTATGAGCGAGTGAATAAAGACGCTAAGTTTTGCTGTCTAGTGCAGAGCGGTCATCACTCGCACTCTTTGGGTTTAATATTTTAAGCGTTGAACTAGTTAGACCGTAAGTGATCATAGCTGTTTCTAGCACGTGTGGACGGGAAAACTGCGCAGTTTTGGAGCCGGCGGGAAAACTGCGCAGTTCCATCGAAATCTGAGCTACCGAGCATAGATTTCGATGAACTGCGCAGACAAGTCGGAACGTGTGGACGATAGCACAGTTTTCCGATTCGATTTGTGCTCAGTTTCAATGATTCTGGCGACAATGGCGGACCTTCGGTAATGTTCTCGGGAATTTATTGCTTTTCTATACGAAAGGTTTTTCTTGTATTTGGCGAGTAAAATTCAATGACTATAGTAACAGGGACAAAAAAGGTGGAGACATACAAGGGCTTAGTGGAAAAATTTGAAAAAATCGATGAAAGCGCAAACAGAGACACAGTTGTAAAACAAGTTGATGAGCATTTACCGTAAATAATTGGGAATAAAACAAAAAATCGATTCCATCTGGACCTAAAGAAAAAGACATCTACAAGCCATCTCTCTTGTATTTTGATTCCTCGCATTCCCTAAATGATCCAATCTTTTTTAACAAGGCACAATGCCAAAATTTATCAAATTTTTTCCGATTTTGCCTTCGTTTGCGAGTTATACGGCTTTATCTAATCTAAAAAATTGTCACGAGCTAAACATCGCCGTTGGGAGGTTAGGTTTATATATTCAAAGTTTCGTTCAAATCTGTACAGCAGTTATGAAGAAATGCCATGCTCACTGCAAATTTCGGTACGTTTTCGTCATATAACTCACGAATGAAGGTGAAATTCTAAAAATGTCTACGAGCTAAACATCACCGTTAAGTCCTAATGAATACGTGTACCAAGTTTTATCGAGCTACGATCATTACTTTGAGAGATATTCCATGCTCACCGAATTTGGGGAGACCGGCCGTAAATTTGTCGGAGACGTCTCCATGGCGAGATCGCGCAAAACTGAGCAAACTACTCAGATAAGTCGGCACCGTGTGGACGCTCTAAAAATTGCAACGATTTCATTCCGACTTAAAACTGCGCAGACAAATCGTTGTGAAAACTGAGCGTGTGGACCGGCCTTTTTTATTATCCCCGTTTCAAACTCGTGTTTACTTGCCACACGGGGTAAGTAAACACGAGTTTGAAACGGGTATAATATCAGTTAATACAACTTCCAATCCCAACTTTCCGCATTACCCACAACATTCTCTCACATTTACCAAAATGCACGATCCTCCAACATTGCCCGAGCAAGACAATTTTCAATATTCACCAGCAATCAGCATTCTCACACATTGCCAAAAACCAAAGATTCATCAATATACAATATCACTTAACCATCAACATACTCCAATATTTAACACCGCTCAATATTATCCTACATCATCCATTTACGAAATATTCTACCCATTTACCAGTACCAAACACTCCTACCTATTGCGGTAGTAGCTGTACCAAATATTTTCCACGTACGGCTGAGGTAAGTTCAATACAGCAGGATTCATGATATTTTACCTATGGTGATTTTACTTAATTGACAGAACGGTGATCAATTATGTATGTGCTGGCAGGCATCCGACTTCTGAAATGGCCTTACGTACGCAGCGCAGCAATTGGCGTAACGTTTACTTTCCTCGTCTTCGTAACGCTGGATACCCTCACCGTAACTCGATGCCATAAGATGGCTACGTCACTGCTGAGGTACGTGAGCATTTAATTCGTAGATTTCGCCTTAAACAGTAGCTTTTATGCCTGAAAGACTTTTCGGGTTTGATTTTTTCGTCACTTCCATGCACCTGCATTACATATGAGCTAGTATTTCAATGTACAGCACTCCCTCAAAGTAAATAGAATTCATCACCACCGCATGATATGGTTAATCATTCATGGTTCGACTTTATTGGGTAATTTGTTTTCTGGGTTTGATTCACTTTCCGCGAAAAGGGTGATGGACATGCCCTACCGAACTCAATGCTTGCTTGGATGTTTTCAAATTAAGTGGCGTGGTTTTAAAAAAGTACTGTTTTGAAACAAGTAACTTTTTTCAAAAAATAATCTAGTTACTCGCAAGGCAATAGTTTAGTCTACTTTTCTACGTAATCCCCACTAATATTGAGAAATTCGCCGTATCATGAGACCAGCTTTTAAATATATCATCGTTAAAGGACCTTGTCGCCTGATTAGACGACTAATGAACACTTGGTTCAGTGATTGGTTGTTTAACGCAACCAAAAACACTTCTTAAGACAGCACGAAATCTCTCAGCTAAGGACGAAATCGTGTCAAGTTTTGCTGCCCTCTTTAAAAGTCCTAATCCAGTTACGCATCATTCTATCACTCAAAATGTTTTCGCCGAAAACATTAACACTTGTTTAACACTGATAACCCTGATTTGAATTTCAACTGATTTGAAGATATGAGTAGAGAGATACCGTATTGCAAGACTCACTACCAGCAATCGTGAGATTCTCAATAGTTGTGTTTTAAATTCACATAAAGAGATGTAGACTTCATCGGATGTTTCCATCGTGGCGTCCGTGGCTTCCCGATAGATGTATAGCTACACGACAGCACTCAGCAGCAGCGCTGCTGCGTCGTAATTCGAAAACGGGACAGACAATAAAGACATGTCTAGTATTTTTGGAACTGTGACTAAGTCAAAGAGGTGACGATCCTATCTTCTAGGAATTCAAATTTATTAAGCCTTTAGCATCCAATTTTCAAATCGTACATTAAGCTTCGTCACTCATGTCATGCGCAAAAACCCTCTTACAGATTTGCTGAAGATAACAGAAAGTTGATCGAGCGCGGGGCTCGAAATTAGTCGACAGAAAAGACTTGGAAATCAAGTTGTAAAAATCGGGAACATTCAGTGATAATCAAAAATAATTTCCTACAATCACGTTCATCCTGTTCATTGCCATTCTCGAAGTTCACATGGATGCCATTTTACATTAATTTGCCCGTTTCAAATATGTGTCTTGGGTTTTACAAAAGACAGCGTAACTATGTCATGCACATGTGTAGAAAACTACAATTTTTGCTGTGGTTTTACGATTTTTTTAAGCTGAATCGAGATCGGAACAAACGTGGAAGGTATACTCACTTTTTTGTGCAAGATTATTATGTTGTTTTTATTAGTGAAGTAATCGTTTTAATGATTTTTGTAATTGATTTTCAGTATCAGGATTATTATACGCCCCAATAATTTCAAATTTCTCCGCACTTCCTCCCCCTAGTTTAATAGGTAATGATTAAAGTTTTAAAGTTAGATGTAGTTTCTCTCGCGACGGCAGCCGTTTGCGGCTGGAATGCCATGTCATAGAAAAACTCCGCTGGTGTGGAAACAACCTGTGATGAGCCGAGGTGCTGAGCCGACGCATATGCTTCTGCAGAATCATGTGTGTTGTTTTTTTTTCACTCAAGCTCTCAATAGCCTTTCACGCTGATTTGCCAGCTAGATCCGTTTGCGTAAACTCTTTTACATTTGTACATGGATTTGTGTTGTTTGTTTCATCCGTATTTAGCGGCTCCATTTTCGTTTTCCGTCCGATTTCGGCTAATGAATTTATAGCCTTATAGGTATCCGACCAATTTTCTTTCTGTCGTTGGGCGACCAAGGGCCGCGTATGAGGTACCCAATAAGTTCCTGGACGTGCTCGGCCGAAACTGAAAGAAGGCTAAAAACGCCCCCTCCCTGCCCGTCTTACATAACATAGTGATCTCGGCGCTAAAGTGTAGGCCTGATGTGGCCTGTCGCCGATTCTTATTCTTTTCCTTTTCGTGCCTTGTTCACAGAAGATCTAAAATCGTGTCATTTTACCGGATCTTTTCATGTCTGACGATAGTTTGAAGTAGGTACTACCGTACTAGACTTCCGGCGGGTTCGATATGGTGCTAGGCATTTCAAATCTGAACATGTATTTTTTCCATAGCTTTATCTAGTCTGTTCTTAAACGCGTTCATACTTGGAGCGCCAACGCTGTCATCGAGGAGGCTGTTCCACATGTCGGTGATTCGAAGCGAGAAGAAATTTTAGACGGGACTCGCACACATAAGGGAGCAGAGAGAGGACATTTCATTGCCTATGTTGCCTTTGCGAGGCTCTGTTCTAAGGATTGATTTAGGATCAAGAATAAGTAAAATGTATGTGCGTGGTCCAATGATGCAAAGGGTGGAAACGAAACTTCTATCTCGACAAGAATTTAAATCCTAAATTATATTGTAAGATAAATTGTGAAGTTGTTAATACATATCTCGTAACTGTTCGTTGTATCACTAGCTTCATAATGCGTGAAAAAAGCCGCCTAAACAATACGCATTATTTACTACCTTTAATCGCCGCCCAAATTCTCCAACATTCACCAGCATCAAACATTCTCCAAATTTCACCAGTGTTCAACATTCTATCTCATTCAACGTTCTTCAACATTCACCAACTTTAAACATTGTCCCACATTATCCGGAACAAGAGATTGTTCTATTTTTACTCATACTATGAAGCGTCCATCCCCGTTAACCCCTACCAAAGGTTCTCCACATCCCTGGACACCAAAGACTATTCCTCATTCACTTATACCAAATATTTTCTCATGCTAAAGAAATACCAAACATTTTCCTGCTCTAACAACTACCAATATTCTGCCGCATGTACCAGGCAAATGTATTTATGTGGCTAAAGTTTACTGCATGATAATGATTAGCGAGAGTAACAACTTTTACATTGTCAGAGGTTCCGCTCAAAATTTTATTCATGAAGTGAAGTGTAATATCAAAGACTCAACTGTTATAGTAGTGCTTTTAAAAATAAAAGTACATATAGCATATGCGATCATATAGCAATTATATATTGTGTAAGAAGGTCGTCTACGCTAAAAAATCGTATAAATTGGCTTTTCCATTTTTAAATCTCATTTTGTAGCTGTGAGTAAGGCGGCAGCAGACGAAGCAAACCGTATGTATGTGCGTGCTTCAGTTTTTGCGTGAAGCAGTTTCGATTTTAGGTGGAATGAACATTTTCTACATTTTATTCAAGATTTCTTCAAGAAAAATTGTATTATAATTTATTATTAGCGTTAGACTGGGTAACAATAAGTCATACGGCTCATGATCGTACCCTCAATACGAAAAATAGGCGATGGGAAAGCTGGGGATTCATTATCTAGCAATTTTTTTTATCATTTTATTGTTTTTCTTTTATTAATTTATTTTATTCTTTTTAATTCGTTTCACTTATTTGGCTCAACTGAACAATTTAAATTGTCATGTTTCGCCTCATTCAAAATATGTCTTTTCATTTAATTTTCAAACTAAAACATTTATAACCATACGATTCGATTTGTAAAGCGAATGTCTAGCGGGTCTATAGAAGCCCTTTTACCTGATTTATCTATTGTTTGAATTTTATATTAAAAATGAGGTTGGATTTGGGGAAATGGAAAAAGTCTTGAAAAATATCGGGAAAGGGCTTCAAGAGTCGCTAGATATTTGCATTACGAACAGAATGATACGTCTCTCGATGTTGTAGCACGTAAATTGAATAAGAAGATTTTTAAATGTCTTTTTTCTGTTTGCTATGCATATCATGTTTTCTTCATTTTCTCAAAAATTCCTACGAACAAAAAGTTCTTGTATTCGCATTTTACATATGTATATGAAGTTTCAGCAAGATCTGTCAGTAATTATGGTAATTTTTTTGACGTAAGCGACCTCCTTATATATGGTATAAAAATAAATTTAGATATACGGTAAATTTTGATACGATCGTGTACACTTGATGTTTATAAAATATACAAAATTTCAATATCAACACAGGATTACGGAGAATTTTATTAACTTTCAATGTACACTTTCTCTCTTGGATTCGTTTGGATCACTTCCAAACTCACAACCCGGAGAGGCTGACGGAAACTCCTGTAAACAACTCTTGGAATCCTTCAACCTCTCATTTTTAGTGCTCTTCTGAATTTCTGTTCATTTCGTACACATCCTCACTTGGACAAAACTCACTTCTGGAGCATTAACCACCCACGACTGCATGCTTTCTGGCGTTGCTTGTACCTTCATGGACAAAATGCAGGCGCTCCGAGTTCAACTCTGGAGGTGATTATTTTGAAATTTTGAAGTTTTGAAATTTCGTTTCATTTTACATTAATGTCTCATTTGGGTTGTGATATTAAATTTTTAGTTTTGCAAAGTATTCATTCATTTCTTTTATCATCCATGAAGTTTCCCACAAAAATTTTACGTATTTCATCTTCTTGGCGGACGATTTTTTTCATCCGAATTTAATATTAAAAATATTAATTAAAATTTTGAAACTATGAAGTGTTCACATGATATTCTCTAATCAAGTGTCGCGATGCTCTGAAGACGACGCAATAGAAGCTCACCTGCGCAAGATGGAGGGGCAGCTGCGTCTGCTGCAGCAGGTAAAGGTGCTGGTCTGGGTGATGACGCAGCCTGACAACCACCAGACGAAAGCGGTACACGTCCGCGACACTTGGGGCAAGAGGGTCGACAAGCTGCTCTTCATGAGCACTCAGGAGGGTGAGGAGCCAAATTACTATTTTTCGCTGGAGTTACTAGACATACTTTATTTATTTACAACCACCGAGAATATTTAAAATAAGTCGACTCAAGTAATACTAAAACTAAATGTCACACAGTTGCGTACATATCATAGGTGCGTTATAGCAGTGCATGTAACATCAGTTACGATGTAAGGAGATTTTGAGAAATAATATTGCCTTCACCTCGTGTGTAATGCTATTAAAGAACAGCCTGCCACTCAAAATTCGATCCCGGGTTCAGAAATATCTTAATAAAGGCCTCATGCCGGCGTGCCACGACGACACGTATACCGTTTCAGAATTTGTTATATTAACTTATGACGATATTAAACAAGAAATAAAACTTTCATTTCTTAACTATGCAAACGATAATTTTTGTTCTAAAGCCCAGTTGATAAGAAATACTTGACTTATCCTGTAGAGTCATTTAATGCATCAGCTCTGGTTCTATTTTACAATGAAAGATCCTGCTTTAATTTCCATTTTTCGGGAAAACGCATGAAAACCGCAGTTTATTCCTTCACTCTAATAACGTTTCTTTAAAACAGTGGTTCTGGAATCTTTGCAGACTTTGAACAAGCAAGGTCCTATCATACTCTCAGAAGACAATTTAGTCATTAAAAATTGACAAGGAGATTTTAAACAGTCGTGATTTCAATCGAGCTGCCAAGCAGATCCAGAATAACTTTAGTTCTATTGCAACGATTGCTGCGCAGAAGCCTAGGCGTTACCAAAATTTTTCTAGAGCAATGTTTAATGGAAACGTTCTATTTATTTAATTCACGAAAAAAGTTAACCAAGTATGTTTGTCAACAGATCCGTCTCTTCCGACCGTCAAGCTGAACATGACTGAAGGCAGGAATTATCTTTGGGGTAAAACCAAAGAAGCCTACAAATACGTCCATCAGCATTACATCAACGACTACGACTGGTTCATGAAGGCAGATGATGACACGTAAGTTTATCATTATCCGTCGAAGTTGTTTCATCCAACACGCGTTGTTGGTTAATCTCTGAATTAAACCTAGTGCTGACGTTTGAGTAACACAATATCGTGTTTTAATAATCATTTAATAACAAGCTTAAAAAAAGTGTTTTTAAATCTTGCAGTTGCATCAATTTAATGTTTTCAACGCTAATGCTCAACTTCAGAAATGTTCTCGATTTCAAAAGTATGCAAAAAAACTTCAGCAGAATAAGTATAAGAATATCCAAAGATTTAAATCTTTAACGTCCAGCTGCACATATTTGTCACTTTGACGAACTAATCTTAAATCCCAGAATAGGCAATTAATCGCGTCACCTCATAAGTTCGAATGGTCTAACTGTCACGTCCACCAATGACCGGAAATTAAATGCAACTTCCCTATTGGTTCTGTCAGCAAAGGCTTGGACCTGGCGGATAGTTACTCAAACAAACTTTCTCAAATTAATTTATTAAAGATGTACGGCAAATTGAAACTAAACAAATCAAACAGGTGCGGCATATGAATTAAACTAACTAACAAATTAAAGGCGGAGGAAGCTAAGATGCGAGGAGAGCAAAATACGAGGAGGGAGCTGGAGCATTGAGATCTGAGAAAACGCACGATCCTACAAGAGAAAACAGAAAGTAAATATCTACGCATGACAAGTCGTATATACACAAAAATCACGATGTTCCATCAAGTATTCCAAGCTAGATTTCACCACCATAGCACGCAACTCACCCTGGCGTCTGAGTCAAAATCCTATAAGAGAGGAACCAGGACGTAAGTCGGGATCGGCATTGTATCTGACGGCTATAATCAATTTGACACCGACGTCAGAGTCGGTCCTACTTAAACTTCGTAGTCTGACATACAGTAGTGGGAAATCTGCAGCAACACTTCATTACAGTCACCATTCAAGATGATTCTAGTTTATGTTTGAAGCTCATTCGCCCAATTGGACAATTACATAGCCTTAAATTCCTGGAGGAGCTATGACAGTGGGAAATTTATGTCGTTTGTCAATTTCTTTCCGATAGATAAATTTCAACAATGTGGTTTGGAGACAATGTGGCATTTTGCGCTCGCAAGAAAATTGGTCGCCAAAGGGTTATTATATTTCGCATGAGGAGTTTGTTTGGCTGCAAGAGAAAAATCTTCAGAAGAGAAGAAGACGGAACTTGAAGAGTTATTATGTATTATTTTCTAGCAATTTTGCGTTAAAAATGCTTGACGACTTCCATCGCTACACTGAAAAAATTAATACACGATAATTTTTATCATTTTGTCGGCCATCTAAGGCTTTCCCATCATTTCGTTTTATCAGCATCAATTTAAAATTTGACGGCCATCTAAGTATTTTAAATTGTTTGAAGACTCGTTACTCATAACTGATTGCAAATCAAGACAATATTTACAAGTAACTTGAGTTATGGTTGCCAAGTCCGTGGAATCTTACACTGGCATAGATCACCATGTACTTCAAGTGAAATAAGTAAGGCTTCAAGGAGATAAAAATTAAAGAAATATATTCAAACAGATGTCAAAGTTTATACTTTAAAATTATTTGCGGATACAATTATAATTATTTTTAAATGAATATTTCTTTTTTAAGTCAAATTTAACCGTTGATGGTAAAAATGTATATGGTGAAATAGTAAAAAGTAATATGGTAAAAAGTTCAATACTCATGAATGGGGGTTGGATAATTGAGAAACTCGCATTTGTTGTGCCCACATAATCACGCTAGTGGAAAGTGCAATATCCGATATTGAATGTATTCACTTAAGCACTCTTGAATGTCAGTGAGATATGGTGATCACGCACTCCCTTAATTGAGCTTCATAAAGACGGTTGGATGATGGGAACTTAACCGCACATAACCGTAAGTCGTGTAAAGATCTTTTTGAAATTTAAGATGCATGTTTGTTGGAAGAGGGGAGTATTTAAATTCTGGGGATTGGTAAATATACTCGTATTAGTATTTAAGAGTAACATGGCAGTAATTTCTTTATATGCTAATTTTGCACTGCAACTTTCAGGTTTGTGGTGATGGAAAATCTACGCTACATGCTGAGCCTCTACGACCCGGAGATCCCTATTTATTTTGGCAGCAGGTTTAAGAAGTTCAACCCCCAGGGTTTCATGAGCGGAGGTGAAGAACTTGAATTAACACTCAGCTACCTGATAAAAGTTGTTTAGTAATTCGTGTACAAACGAGAGTATTGGAATAAAATTTTTGTTCGCAGGACCTGAAAATGGTTCAAATATTTTCTTGATTGCCAAGATGGAGGAAACTAATATAAGTGAATAACTAATGAAAATTTTCCACTCTCAATGTTCACTTTAACAATGTATATGCAAGATTCAGGGAGTTATTACATTTCATTTCTGAGTTTCTAATGAATTTCATTTTGCTCCAATGACGTCGCGGGCAGGGGGCGGCTACGTTCTCAGTCGCGCAGCCGTCAAAAAGTTCATCGAAGAGGCTCTCCCGGATCCCAAAAAATGCAAAGCAGATCACACGGAAGCCGAAGACGCTGAAATGGGTTTGCTATTTCAATTTTATACGTACTTATCTGTTATATTTACCTGCATTATATCCTGTCATTTATATCTACGTCAGCACTTCCGCTGAAGTCACTGTAATGCCGTTAAACCATATCGAGGTAAATAGTTTTCAATAAACACTGTGAATTCATGGAAAGTTCGCAATCTTATTTTCGATTTGAATTTTAACTAGCCTGTTTGTGCTCGCCGCTACTCACAAATAAATAATAGTTAGCGATGTTACTCGCAGCTTATTTCTTACATGGTCTTCAAGGCATCTGCATGACCAACGTGGGTGTGCTGGCTGGGGATTCCAGAGACGAGCTTGGCAGAGGTCGCTTCTTCCCTTTCGTGCCGGCCCATCACCTCGTGTCTGGCTTCATAGGCGAGAAGAGCTGGTACTGGGACTATATATACTACCCGATCAAAGTGGTTAGTGAGGGGAGGGACATCCGAGTGTTGGTACTGGGACTATATACTACCCGATCAAAGTGGTTAGTGATGGGAGGGACATCCGAGTGTTGGTACTGGGACTATATATACTACCCGATCAAAGTGGTTAGTGATGGGAGGGACATTTGAGTGTTGGTACTGGGACTATATATACTACCTGTCTCTTATACACATCTAGATGTGTATAAGAGACAGATACCCAACAGGCAAATGACCATGAAATGACATTGATCACATGAGTGTATTTCATTCATAAACGTTTCCGCAACGTTTGATCGACCTTATTAAAAGAACGTTTTTAAAAAGATGACATCAGGTGCCTGGTGAGTAGTCCCACGTTTCTTCAGAATTAGTGTGCAAAAGTCAAATTGTCCAGCGTCTCGCATTAAATTCCACGGATCTTCTTTGCATGCATGCAAATATCTATGTGCCACCGTGAACGCCATAGTCNATGATACATACATAATATAAATTACAGAATAAAACTGTACGAAAGATTTCGGTGTTATGTTGTCAACATCAGCCTGTTACTAGTGTCAACATGTTAGTTGTTGCTTGTTAAGTTGTTACCAGTTACCACTTACAGGTTTTTTCATCTTTCAGTTTGCTTACAGTTATTTTTACACAGTTATTTTTATGTTACACCTTCCCTACATGGATGTCTACTTCAATCTACCAATCTCAAAAATAATCCACATATATATACAAAAATAATCCACAATATATACAAAAAAAGACTAATTTTTATATGTATATATGGATAATTTCTTAGATTGGTAGATTAAAGTTCACATCCATGTAGGGAAGGTAAAACATAAAAATAACTGTAACTTCTATTTACTGTATCTAATCCTGGGGTAACCCATACTAGTTCGGTTAGGTTAATTGCAATGAAGTTGCATTGATATGTCTTGAAAATGTTTTATTATCATTAAATGTTAATGAATAAATCCCAATAGCAGAACAATAAATATTTAGAGATTTCCAATGATTTTGGCCATTGTAGCGGCTAATGTAGCGCGCTACATTTTACTGTAGCCGCAGCGGTAGCGCCCGTTACAATCTAGTGGGTGTAGCGGTAGCGGTAGCGCCCGCTACATTTAGAGCATGTAGCGGTAGCGGTAGCGCCGCTACATTTCCAAGTAGCGCTGCCCAGCTCTGTATATACTACCCAATCAAAGTGGTTATTGATGAGGGACATCCGAGTGTTGGTTCTGGGACTATATATACTACTCAATCAAAGTGGTTAGTGATGGGAGGGACATATGAGTGTTGATACTGGGACTATATATACTACCCGATTAAAGTGGTTAGTGATGGGAAGGATATTTGAGTGTTGTACTGGGACTATATATACTACCCAATCAAAGTGGTTAGTGATGGGAGGGACATTTGAGTGTTGTACTGGGACTATATATAATATCCAATTAAAGTGGTTAGTGATGGGAGGGATATTTGACTGTTGGTACTAGGAATATATATACTGTTCAATCAAAGTAGTTTGGTATAGGAATTATTCGAAATCTTGAATTTTATCAACAAAGTGAGGTAATTTTCTTTGTTAGTTTGTTTATCTTTGTTAATAATGCAAACGAAAAATTTGTGAACAATCTTTTTCGAGCTGTAATTCACAGTATTCAGTCTGAAGTCTACAACGTTTTCCCTGTAAAGTGTTACTGGACATATTTGCGCTTGAATTTCAGTACAAAAAGGTATCATATAAACGCGTACATAAAATTAGAAAGTTTCGCCCGAATACAAAAATATTCAACATTTTTTCCTATCCCAGGGTCCGGAATGTTGTTCAGACACTGCCATCACATTCCATTACATCAGCCCTGATAAGATGAGGGAGTTAGATTACTTCCTCTATCACCTCAGACCGTACGGGGTTGTGCCACAGGTATCCTTTCCACCCGCCCTCCCTCCGGACCTCAAAAGTGTCCCCAAACAGGTGATGTACGGGATCAAGTTAATGGTGAAGGCAATTGAAAACATCTTTAACCACGTGAAAATACCCGGGGCAAAATAAATTATTGTAATCGATAGCTAAATATGCAAGAGACAGTCATAGTGACAAGGCAGTTCAATAGTTAAGTTCTATTTTCGTTCTAAAGATCGCATGAAAAATTCCTGCAAAGCTTTGAATACAAGTAGTTTTGTAGTTTCGTTTCAGCAGAACATATTTATTATTATCACATATTAGTTTGGATACGTACATATTTTGATATGATATTGTCTTGATAATCCTCCATATTTGCTTCCGGCTAGATCCCAAATTAATAAATAGTTTAATTCCGTCGTTAATTCATACTTTTTTTACAATATGTGTATCACATATGAAAAAAACTATCGTCAAAATGGATGTAATGCGAATAAATTGCATTTCTCGTTTATTTCAAATCACTCGTTTATTTGAATAAATAATTTCATTTGTATTAACCTAACGTTTAATTTTTCCAGGTCATTGAAAAATTCGGTAACAGAACCTCATGAGCCGTCCTAGTTATTAAGGTTATAATCAGATTTTGATGAGCGTTTTTGTTTAATAAATAATCAACTTCACATGAATATTGTGTCCTTAACCATATTAATTGTGCACAATGTTATTTTAAAAATAAGCCCAAATTAAAAGAACAGATTTGTTACTTCAGTGCCAAAAAGTTAGGTTAATTCGACGGAGAAAAATGATTTTCGAAAAACCGTATTTATCAAGGAAAAAATCACAATTGATCGACGTATCATGTACGTGTAAAAGGAAACACCTCAGCAAAGTAGAATGAGTTAAAGGTAGCATGCTGACTGTGCAGAGTTTTGAGTATTTACATGCAGAGGCTAAAAATTGACATTTCAGTCGGGGTTTTAACTGCCTTGCGTATGAGGACGACGAAATGAACACGCTACTTTAATTTTATACTGATAATCTTTGAGTGTAGGATAGGAGTCCTTATACTAAGGTACATGAATTCTGCGATCGGACTAGATACTTATTATTCTTAGTCGGTAATCGACAGTTATAGAAGACTGAATTAAATTCTCGGGGTAAGAGCCACAACAAGACGTAATTGGTAGCGAGTGACGTTGGTACGAGTCACGCAGAAAGTTAGTCATGACTGTCGAGGGCAAGAACCTCAATACGCCACTGAGAAAAGCAGTAAGTATGGGCGAGAGCAACAACTAAACGCAGAAGAACCAGAAGTGGCTGTTAAGGGTACGAGCCTCGACATAGTCTGGAGTAGCAAGTGTCGGTACGAGCCACACCAAAACGCGCAGAAAATAACTCGAGTGAGATTGGTCCTGGAATAATGAATTTCATGAATAATGCTATGAGTGTATTTTTTATTATATTAATTTGTTTTGTACTCCCTATCAATCAACTGTTTATGCAAGATATACAAGACGTGGTGGTATAGATATTAATCCTATACGGTCTAGTTGTAGTTTAGATATTACAAAGCTTAGCAATTTAAGGCATATTCGTCAATAATAATACTTGTCTTACTCACGAGAGGGCGAGTGGTTCGCATACGCGCCGCACCAAAAAGCTGCCAGGAGGTACTAGTGCTAGAATAAAACCAACACCTGCGTCATGTGTTCCGTTATATTACGCATAGTTTAACAAAGCGCCCTGTGAGTCGGTTTTGCTTTTGAGACATATGCATAGCTGCGGCAGTGTCTCACCGGCTTACATCTGGTTCTTTGAATTCGATTTAAAACTTCTGTACTCCTAAAACTGCTAATTATGTTATCAGAATAACACCAGAGAGCAACCCATGCAGATAACATGTCGCCATGAACAGTACCTAAATTCTAATGTAATTAGTACGACTATCAGCGTTATTTATTTAAAATTAGAAATATCTATAATAATGTTTCCACGATGTAAAGTTTGAGTCCTTTGGTAACATAAATTACAAGTTAGAGTTAATAAATAATAAAATAATTATTGACGAAAGTACGTTGACCTTGCAATGCTTCTGGTCTCTAGCTGTGTCTGTTTCCACCCGTTTCATTCTCATGACTAGTGCTTAGTTGAAATTGCTCTTTGTTAGTGAACAAACCCCACAAAAACCTAAACTAGTTTTATGACAGTGAGTCATTTGGGTCATTCCAAGCTAGTGAGGCAACAATAAGATTAAATTGAGGCATCACTACGCTTCGCCTCTTTTTTTTTTAAAGATGACCATTCGTGTCGCTGAATAGAGCAGGTACGATCACGAATGTGTATTAATAAGAATTAGCGTCTATTTTTTTGAAAACTGATCAAATAATTGAAAAAACTATTATGTTTCAGTAAAGTATGTCATTGTCCCCACCTCGGCATGAGATTATTTGTTTGTCCGAAGGAGTCTTTTATTTTTATTTCCTGTGTATGTAGTATCGAAAAATTCATATTTTCCTCCCAAGACAAATCCAAATTATAAAATTAATAACTTATTATTGGAAAGGCTGAATTCGGCCTAAAAGCCATTATTTTAAATTCTTTGCTAAAATTCTTAATATTTTATTCCTCTAAATTATAACGATACTTTGAATTTTGCTTATATTTTAGAGGATCAAGAGTTTGGAGCAATGACCTAACAGAATTTTAAGCGCGAGATAGAGAAGACGCAGATAGCGTTGTCATGAAAGAGAAGTAATTTTGGCATTTTAGCCTTGTGATGAGGATGATTTGAATACTAGTTGTGTAGGTCTTACTGTGACATTCATTCCCGAGAGTATTTATTTGTTGTGCCATTTATTGCTCTGGTTGGGATCGAACGCTGCAACAACGCTTCACTTATATCGGTGCATGTCTTAAATACCCCTTTAAAAACGAATGTGAAGAATTGTGAAAAAAAAGAATGTGAACGGCCGGCATGAAATGACTGTGACAATCTTATAGCTCGGTGCTGCATTCTCAATGCGGCTTGTTCACTCCCGAATGGCATCAATCGATATTTTTTCTCTCATTCAGTTTTCTGTCCTATCTTTCTTCTTGAAGATCATAGTTCAATGGAAGAAACTGATAATTTTGAAATAAGTTGCATACTATTGCATGTAATAGATTCATTTGTGCGTAACCGGTAATTTTACACATTCTCACAAAGTCAAACACAACATTAGGGCATTTCACCAGGCACACCTTAAACCAGTGTTTCTCAAAATGGGCGGCATCGTCCCCCTATTAGGGGCGTTGGAAAGACCTGGGACCATACTTTCAAAACTTCCTAAGTGAACGTAAGTACTTACGTTCTATTTTCTTGTCTATGATTGGTGGATTTCGCTTGAATGCCCGTCAATGATTGGCTTATGAACTTACGATCTCTTAACTTTTTTTTGGAAGTATAGGCCCTGAATAGCTGCAATAGTTGCGAATTACAGAATAAAAATGAAGTGCACATTTCGATCAAGAGAGCGAATTGTGGTGAGGCAATCGGAGGCAGTCAAGCGGATCTTCTCGTCTAGGATTGGCGAGATGAGGGAGCTGGGCTGCTGGGAGAAGCTGCAGCACCTGGATAAAGAGCAGGAGCGCGAGAATATTATCCTGTACGGTACTATACGGTAGTAGGCTTACAATATCTTACTGGAACAAACATGGTGGAAAACATCTTACTTAATTATCTTGGTCTCGATTGCTTATTTCGGATTTCATAAATTTCATTATTAAATAATTATAAAAATATCCAGTTAGTTGATCATCAATTTTTGAGCACGAATAGCACTCGTGTTATTCCTGAATGATAAAAAAGTTTAGTAAATGTCAAAAATACTTTTGTTTAAACCGCAACAGCAAATATTGTGTTTTATTTAGAATGCCAGTGGGGAACCATTTGTCAGTCGCGTGTTAGTCATTTTTTCTGAACGAAGTCGCTAAGTAAGAATTTGTAAGACGCTAAGTTCTTCACTACAATTAAATTCTTTTAATGCAATAAATATTTCAGTGTAACTGTCATAATTGAATTATTTGTATTTTCTGTATTCCTTGATATTGTTATTTCATTGAGTTCATGTCTTGTCGATTCTAACGGCCATCAGTGATGCAGGTGTTGATCAGCGGATTCTTCAGCCCGACTTTCTTCAATAAATAATTGAAACTTAGATTCTTCACTCCACCCTACGTGATATACAATTGCCTCAATTAATTAAGGGAGAGGGACGGAAAAATCTTATTCATTTCCATCCACTGTTAAGAAAACTAACCCTCCTCAAAAAACGCCATTGTTCTAGTGGCGTTGAATGATGCCCCGATCCATACAGTTACAATACAACCCGAATAATCATGTAAGATAAGATCCTCAATTCAAATATCATTGTATAAAAGAATATATCTCTAAATTAAATAAAAATAGTTAGAATACAAAGAGAAACAAAGCTAAAACAAAGCTGTATAATGTATAAAGTGTGCAAAAAGAGTGCGAATAAAGCCACGCAAACGGAAATCTTTACTTCAAAAATTCGCTTCAGAGTACAAACATGTATTGTATTTGGCTTTATAATCTGTTGTGTAGTCACGAACCGAGAGCACAATTTTTCGATTCTCTCATGGCCAAAGTAGCAGTTTGTCACACTCATCTCCACAGTCCTAAGTACAATCTTCATCACGCTCGATACGATGCTGCTTTGACAACAAAAAAACTTGATGTGCGATGAACGAAACTGAATTCCACCAACGAATCTTTTCAGTAACTTTCAAGCCACAAATTATTATTTCAATACGCTTCTGGAATTCAACATTGAGACACATTTCCGTGCGGAACTACGGCCATTTTTTTTACGAACTTCTCGACGTTTAAAAATGTTTACGTTTCCAACAGTTCCAGCGAATGCAATCGGGTAAAAAAACGTGAATACAATGATTTTATAAGTCTCATTGATGCAATACATATGATGATTGAGAAAAACTCGTTGCCACCAGGCAATAGAGAGGCGACTACAAAATATGGCTGATGCGTTGAGGGGGTGAACAAAAGTGAGCAAATTCCGAACGGTATTCAATAAAAGAACGATTCAGAATGATTTATGAACACGTCCTGTTGTACAACAAAATTTAGAACTGAACCTTTGTAAATATGCCACAACATTTTAGCCACTCCGCACAGATAAAGAGCAACAAATGGGTCGAGATTTCTCAACAATAGATCCACATAGTTAGAATGGTAGAACAATGAATGCTGTTAACAGCTATTTAAAGCGAGCCCATATGTTCTACTATAAACTATAATAATGTACGTAGAGTTTAAAAATTAGAATTGCACAATTCAACAATAATAATATGTTTTTTGCAACCTCAGAACAATACTCGGAACAAACCCCTACTCTATAAATCACAGCCTCAATCAGAGCTTTCGTTACGCTAATGTTTCAATTTAAATAAAAATAACACAATTTCCCACAAGCATCACAGCCTTATAACAATTTATTATATCAAAACTTATAGCGAATGACTGTCCTCGAGTAAGAAGAACTATTTTATACTAGTAGAACTACAGTAGCAAGCGCAAGTAGCAGTACACCAAGCTATACGAAGCGCAATTTTGTAAGGACTTGGCCGGGCACTAAAATTAAGAAAGGGCAATATTTTACACGAATTTGATACCTGGCGTACAAACATTTTTACACAGAACTATAGGAAGGAAACTTTTTTTTAGTGCTTCACTTCTGTTCTCTGATGGTCTATGGTAGGTTACTCTTAAGAGAGTAAAAAAAATATAGCATAGGGGTACTGACTTTTTTCGTATGCGCCAATGTGTGCAACTAACAAGGTAAAATTTTCTCACTTCATTGAAACTAAGTCATGATCAAAAGCGAGCAGCCCAATGCAATCATCATAATCATTAGCTTGCTTCAAGAAGTCTCAAGAAACCGCTTCTCCCTAAACTACAAGAGATTACAATTTAAAGTAAAGAATTAATTTCCTCGTATTCAGTTATGCCTCCTGCTTGGAGCTATCGGGAGACGAGTTTCAGCGAGCCTCGAACACAAACCCCATGGTAACCAAAAAAATTAGGCGAATGTGTTGCAAAAGTTTCAACCTTTTTACCCACAAGTTCAACGACTAGTATAATTAAATTGCTGATGATGATTTCAGCAATTAATCAGCAATTAAATTGCTGATGATTAAATTGCTGATGATCGTAACCACCTGAACTGGAGACTTGTTAGTAGTGACATTCGTGCATTTCAGGACATGGAGAGCTCTCTTCATACCCTGGCCTAAAATATGGTTAACAGGGAAAGTCTATACGTCTTAGCCCACCTCTGAACACATCCTTACTCTATAAATCACAGCCTCAGTCAGAGCCGTCGTTTTGCTTACGTTTCAATTAAATTAACTACAGCATAATTTCTTTTCTGAGAGCATCAAAGCCTATAATGCATCAGTGAGGGAGAATACAAATATGGCAAGTAGAAAAAGTGAATAGACAAAATATCACAATAATTTCGATTACCTGATGCACAGAAAAATTTGGTGTTTGAATTTGAACTTGATTAAATAATAACACAATTACAACTAGCATTACAAAGCAAATGTTGTCGTTTAATATCTGTAATTAATTGAATTAAAAAAATTGGTAACTAAATAAGTGGGGGTAAGTTGAAAAACTGACATTTTTCTTTAAATCATCATCCGAACGCAATGATGTCACCACATGCAATGCCATTTATTAATGAAAAAAAAACACTTCAGCCCAAAATTCATCGTCAGCTTTTTTGACGCCTGAATTAATGAATTTTATCTCATTCTTAGACCGAGTAAAATTACGTAGGTTTACTCGGCCACGAACACAATCTTAATTATTTGTCCCCGCAGCAGCTCTTTCGTCCAGAGGTAAGAAATGAGAACGAAATCACAACGAAACATAAAAAAATGGAGAGCAATAAAACATAAAAAATAGGAAGATATGTGAGCAGGAATTACAGATTTATTTTAAATTACATTTAGGAAAACAAGAAGATGGTTAAGGCTTATAGAATATGGGGTAGGATTAAAAAAAAATACAAAAACCATAGGAACTTAACGCGAATGCTGAGCCGTTTCTAAGTTCGTAAGTTATCAGTCGGAAACTTAATCCTAATTTACTGACAACAAAAATAAACAAAGAATTTACTTTACATTGCAGAGCTGTTGATTAAGTACGGTATAGAATGAACAAGAAATTTGAACGAAAATCAGAGCAAATTAGTCTGGGACTGCCAGCAAACAACAACACGAGCGGCAGACGACCGTGATTATTAATGCAGCAGCGTCAGCTGTGTAAGGTTACGAACGAAAAGTACACGTCACACACGTACTGGACGTGACAGAGGGCATATTGACATCCCCTACTGTACCTGTCTGGCCACCCTGTGACGCCTCTTGCTTTTCATTACTTTCCCAGTGGGAAAAAACACACAAAAAGAGAAGAGATACAAACACACACACAAATAAACACACACGAACGTACACACAAACGCAAGCACACAAAAACACATACACATACCCACACGCGCGCGCGCGTGAGTTGGACTGTCACTCGTGTTCGTAGAACGAGAGTAAGAATGTCAAAAGCTGGAACGGTTCATCGAGAACGGTTCAAGCGACTCGTTCGCGATCTAGGAGTGTTGATGAACAATCAGGTCAATTTTGGTGATCACATACCGGCAATAACCGCAAAAGGTAGACAACAGATGGGGTGGATCTGGCGGACGTTCAGAACGAGAGAGGCGGAACCGATGATCACACTATTCAGAGCCCTTGTAATACCTATCCTTAGCCCAAATGAGGGCGGATGAACGATAATCAGAGGCGGCGATCCATCGTGGCCTGGGACTGCTATGTCCCAAACAAATACTAAGGATACTAAGGAGAGGAAGGAAGTGTCACGGATTGCAGACGTCAGGACCAGTCACGGATTGCAGACGTTGCAACCAGTCAGGAACAACGTCAATGATGTAGTATCATCGATGACAGAATCAACGGTGTCAATAGCAACGGTGTTTAAATCAAAAGAGACAGTCATCGGAGCCGGAATCAACGACAGAGTCGATGGTGGATCAGAAACTGAGTCACAGGTTCCGCCGTGTTACTGGAACCGGAAACGCGCACAGCAGCCAGCTCAAGCCAGAGGCTGTCGTCTTGCTCCTTAATTAAATTCCTGTGACTTAAACATTTCTGCGATTTAGCTTAGGATTATTCTTATTGAGGCAGGGCGTTGAAATAGAGGGTGTCTAACAGTGTGTTAATGCCAGACTTATGATGCCCATTACAATAATTGGACATTGTGCGCCATAGACTCCTGCGTTTGGTATTTTTTTTATCCGAGACGAGACAAGACAACAGGCTCTGTCCCGGTTCGCAATAAAAACCGGGACAATATTCAGCCCTCCGTAGGAGTTCCGGGACGATACCGAGACGAGACGAGACATCCCGGTTAAAATAGGTACCTTAAAATTTCCCGGAATTTAATTAAACAAGCCCAAGTGTTTGATAACAATTCAGGAAACTGCGCAATTGTGAAGATTTCCTGGAGGCGTAGCACAAAATTTTACTAAAGGCAGAGATAATCTAATACTAGCTTCAGTATTATTAGGAATTTCTTACCAGGACTCCACTCCACTGTCTACTAATTGGCCGACTAATCTAGACACTGCGTCCCTAATCCCTATACGCTCCACGGCGCCTGAACTCGTTCCGAACGCGTAATAAACTCGACTCATATTCGTACGGTTCCCATAAGTGCCATCGAAGCCTTAGTTAAGACTTAAGAGTAACATTTTCGACTCAATACTCAGCCATGCATACATCGACAGGTTTGAGGTGTTTGTCGGACCACTAATTAATTGCCATGTCATTTAGTTGTAGAGTAAATAGATTTATTGCTGATTTTTAAGTTGCAATGTATTAGGTTTAGGATTTTGATTTTGTCAGTTTTAGTTTTCAATCACCTTAGCCGTGACCTCCAGCAACATTGCGTTTTACCTGTCATTGTGTCTAGTGTTCTTGCCGTGGAGGTACGTTAATCGATAGCTTTGTGATTATATTTGTGTTTGTTCAATTTTAGAAGTGATTTTAGTTTCGTGTTATTGATTATTTGTGCGTGTTAATTTGTTTATTATATATTCATTCTTTAGTTAGTTATTTCAAGCGTTATTTTGTTCTATTTTCAGGAAGGCCTCGATGTTCGAACTTGATACATGAGCCCAAGTTATGAACTCTATATTTGGACTTGATTAGTGAATTGAAAGTGAATGAACGCACGGTTAAAGTCAAGTTAAAGTGGTTAAAGTCAGGTTAGGATTAGGGTGTTAGGTTTGTTGTGTTTTGTTTCTATTTATTCATTGTTAATTATATTTACTTGAAACCGTTTATTCATTGAAGAAAATCCTTGGTATTGAAAAGTTTATTAAAGTCCTGAAGAACGATCACGTGCTATGTGTCGGGGAGACGTCAATTTAGTAAGAGATAGTCCCCCAACATAGTCAGACAAATTAGTCGATGTCCCTATAGTCGATGTCCCTATTAGCAATAAGGGACAAATTTGTCATTCTTCAACCCATGTTTTAGAAATGATTCGTATCGCAATCGAAAAACTTGTTTTGTCTTAAATAATTAAGACAAATCTCGTCTCGTCTCGTTATGTCTCGTTTCAAATCTGTCTGTCTCGTCCCGGTTCATAATTTACCGGGACACAAGTTTTAAAGTCCGGGACAGAAGTCTTGTCTCGGTTCATACGTTTATTCCGGGACAAATTTTACCCTCTGTCCCGTTATTTTTTTCCCGGAATTTTCTCGTCTCGTTTCGTCTGTCCCGGTTCATTTCGAGAAAATTATTTCGAGACGCAGGAGTCTAGACTGCGCCACTCTACAGCTTAAAATACCTCCGGTTTTAGTCACAGCATCACTCCATTCACTCCGGAGAAACTCTTCGATTATGATTCGTTTCTGATTACCTAATCAGACTCTTTACTTTGCATTGCTCTTAGAACTGTGAAAGAAGAAGTGCAACAATATGTTAAAAAATTGTAAAATTTTGTAAAACTTTTCTGTCATAGTTAGCTACAGTTAAAAATAGGGCTCACTATACATCCTAAACCGCAAACACCACATCACAAAAAAATTATAATCAAAGGAGAGATATAAAACACACATCAGAAATAAAGCCTTTGTGTAGGTACATATTTATCATCATCGCGAGTTCTTGTAGGAGCATCAACACAAAATAAGAAGCTCATTTAAAGCAATGACTGAAATAAATAGAAATTTTAAGCAAAAACCAAGAGAGCATCCATGGCTGTCAAGTCACAGAAATAGAACATGCAGGATGCGCAGCATTTTTTTTTATTGGCTGTTTGGGCCAATGAAATATAATTGCACATTTTCTAACAATTATTTATCATCTAAGCAAATTTCTCATGCTGGACATAGAATGAAATAAAATCACACCTAATCGATCGTCGATCGATTCACATTTGAAGTGCAACTCTCTCCGATAAGTACAAATTCTTACCAGCAGAAAATCCATACACGATTACGTATTTAGAAATTGAAAGCTGGATAAATAGCCAGGTATATCTGAATCACGAGGCAGCGCGATGTCAGCTAAGCTACAAAAAGCGTGATGTCAGTTAATTATTTCACTCCGTGTGGACAGATTATTCAAATAAGCCGCTAAGGTAAATTCCGGTTAGAGCGAGGAAAGAGCATCGGATTATATGACAGGAGCGGGTCTGGATACATCGATGATATCGGAGTCGGGTAACGCAAGAAGCTCAGTGGCCACCTCAGCTCCGGTGGCAACAATCGCACAGGGCAAGGCTGGATGGGATTATGCAGCGTATAATGAATGCCAGGCTGAGAATCGACCAGAGGAACAGGCAAAAGAGGATGTCTTGCTGGCGAATGTACAGGATAAGTTTGTTCAGCGATCCTTGCAAAATGTTTAGGAAATTGCCTTTGGAGTTCCATTTTAGCGAAGTAGTCAAACCCTTCAGGAGCGTTGGAAGGAGCAGTCTGAGTTACAGATATGCTGTCTCGCACAGTTATACGTTCTGCGGAGTGGCCGATTACTCCGCGGGAGAACAGTTTCTCGTACATGAACTCATCACGATCAGCGACGCCACTGTCGTTCTCATAGTTGTGGCAGCCCTCACGCATGTCCCTAATGCTGCGATTTTTGCACGAGTCGAGTGCTTTCGACATGGAACTGTAGTCCGACTGAGGCGACTTTTTAAACAGGAACGAGCACGCACTGCTGAACATCGGAGGCATATTACCTCGAAAAGGCGAGAACATCTGTGGCGCGGCACCGGCTTCGTTTGCTTGTGACACCAACGGATAAAATGGTGGCATGCGGTTCAGGTACGTTGAGTGCGAAGGAGGAAGCAACATTGGGGCTCCTTTATGAGGCGGCAGTGCAGGCGAGAAATGAGGGTGGATGAAACTTGGTTCTGCGGCGGGTGTATTTGGCCAGCCATCTTCGTCTTTGATCTCCTGTTTAATGGGTGCGGTGGCCTGCAAGTAAAGCTACAACTTTAAATACTTTGCATGGGCACTATCGAAAATAAAAGAGCATGTATTAGGAGTGAATGATACGACTGCATGGGGTTTAAAAAAAGACTTATCTCAAATAATCACAATATAAACAGAGAAACTACGGGATTTAACTGCATCATCTTAAAAATCGTATTTCGGTAACATATATACATGATCAAATTTTGCATGTGCATAATCATTTTCAAAATGATGAAAGATTCCAATCTGCGCGAAAGTATTTATTGTAATGAGCGTTTCTCAAACGTGAGAAAACTTTGGCTTCAAATTTTGCCATTTGAGATTGACATAAATAATGGTGATGGTTGCTATGATTATGATGATCTAATTATATAATGATCATAAGTTACTATGATGATAAAAACAGGCATGATAAAAATTTTCAAACGTATAATAATTTCAAAGTGATTTACGACAACAATCACCGAGAAACTTCCAATCTATGGTAAGGACGATACTGCTAACGCACACTAAATCTATGGCTTCAAATTATGAAAGTTAAGATAGACCTAATGATGATGATTGAAAGAACAATGATGATCTGATTGTATGTGTGTGATTGCCTGAACCTATTTTAAAGCGAATTACGTTGTAATGGATATGTTATGCAGTCATTTCTTCGAATCTCCTCACAGTAATAAACGGTTGAAAATCAAAACTCATTCACCTCGTAGATGGCAGCTGTCGCATGGCTGGGCGTGGGCGTTTGTGGGGAATAATTGGCGATGGAATAAGAAGCCACGGAAACAGGTGGAGACATCCTGCAGTCAGGTGGAGACATCCTGCTGTCAAGTGGAGACATCCTGCTGTCAGGCGGAGACAAACTGCTGCCAGGTGGAGACAGCCTGCTGTCAGGTTTCTCCCAAGAATTAGGGACGAGGTCGGGGTATAGTTGAACGTTATAGTTCGTCATGACGGTCGGCGGCAACGTTTGGGTGGCCCGAAACTGCACCAAAGTTGACAGGGCATCGGCTTGAAGGATCCCACTAGGGGGAGTACCCTTTCTTTTCAGAGGGGGTCGATTGACTGCAGAGCTTTTATTCGTGCGTGGAACGACGCCTGTTGAAGAAATCAGTCCAAAATGTTTGGATAAAGCTTCTATGGTAAGAGTGGCCGCTTTTATAGCCCCAACAATAGCTTCTTCACTGTTTCCCTCATCGTTGATGTCCCTTTCTAAGGCCTCAGCACCATCGTTCTGATGAGCTCCTTCGTGGCTCTCGCTTTTACTGTCTTCGTCGTCATCGATTTCACTTGAGATAAGCTGTGGACGTAACGACTCATGTACAGTGCAAAGAAGTGAAGGCGGACAGCCAACTAAAAATGTCAAACACAGCCGAAGGTTATATTAAGCACATTAGGGAACATTGGAAGATCACGTTAGTTCGCTTGTGAACTTGGAAAATAAGAATCGACCTCAAAAATTTAACGTAGCATAGTTCCCTGTACACAAGTCCGAGACATTGGCAGCAACGCCGTGTGCTGTTCAACAATGGAGATAAGAATGGCGCAAAAAGATAGGAAATCGAGTGGCTTTCATCATCATGAACAAGAACTACGCCGTATAAATCCCATCTCAACACTGTAAAGGACCTTGGAGAGCATTAACTTGCTTCTCTCAATGGAACTGCATCTCAATGTTCGTTAATACCCTACTTATCGCGGGAGTTATGTTACAGACCCGGACGCGGAATGTGAAATCCGCGATGGAGAATTTAGCGAACGATAACACCTTAAAAACATCCAATCTTATGTAATTTACTATCTCATGTAGGCGAGTGGCGTCACTGTCAGGCGATGAAGCTTCCAATTTCTGAGTATAAAATTGTACTTAAAGTATACTTTATCCTAATTCATAATTTTTTATTATTTATAATTAAGCTATATCGTTAATATTTGTATCTTATTTTAAATTATTTATGTTTTCTTACAATTGTAGGTATGTTTGTTTTGTAAAACATGCTGATCGAGTTCCGCGGGCTGTTTTCATCTGTCAAGCGACTTTCTTAGAAAATCGCGAATAAGCGAAGATCCCCAAATAATTTTCCTCATTAATATTTCTTAAAAACCCGCAATCACCCGATTCCAACGCGACACGAGTAAGAAGATAAAGTAACTAGTTACTTTATCTTCGCGAGGGTTGTTTCGTACTGGTTGTGCTATCAAAACAAAATTATTAATAATCAAATCCTTGTGTACAGAAAGGTTCGATATTAAAATTACCAGACTATCATGTTCATATTAACGTGCCAAAAGCTTACCTTGGCCGTCACGTTCGCCCGTCGCACTCTCTGCTGATGCTTCATGATAAGCCGACGCATGTCGGTCAGGTGACAGTATGCACATTTACAATTCTCGAACTGGCATTTTCCTTTGTGACCACGCTTTTTGGAGAACTTTATGTGGTTGCGGCACTTGTCGCACAACTGAAAATAATATTGTTACATTATTAAACTGCAATTATTTAACCTTACAGAAGTAATAACTACCTACTCGACAGTATTTTAAATTTTGTGCGATCAGACGTAAACAACTCAGTTCACAGTGAATCTAAGTAACATTTTTTAGATATTCTGGCTCGCTCTGACTTTTGTACCTTGCACTTGTTAAATATTGACAAGTCCGTTAGATTATTTAATATATTTTTACACTGCTTCTTCTGCTCCAGCCCACTGATATTTTAAATTTTCGAATTTAATACTTTTTTATGAAAATTAATTGCACATCAATTCATCAATTACTTGCATCAACGAAAATTACTTGCACATACCTGCCTACTGGTGAGCCCATGCTGAGGAAATATGTTATTCTTGGCCATCTCACGCCCCTGATGGCGCCATAAGGCCTGTTGGTAGCGCATCACCATCTGCGCCTTCGTCGTGAGCTGGCACAGCCAGCAGTGGCAGTTCTTATGCGTGCATACGTGCCCACTCTTCCTACTGAATACGTTAATGATTGTACGTTAAATTTTTATATGATTCAAAATTGAACACTTAGACACAAACTACAAGGCTCGACTAGAGACAGTACCACCCTAATACTAGCTAAACAGCATTTGGTTTTAAATTTTATCTACAACAGGGGAAGTTTAAATTAATGATCATTATAATACTTACAACAAGCATACGTTATTGGGAGAATCTGGCAGTTTAAAAGCCAGGCACAATATAAATTAAAAAAAATTATTGCAAGCGTCGAAGAAATAAAACAGCTTATTTATTGAAAATATACAGAATAGAATATAATAGAAGTGCTGGCATTGAAGAAATATGCCCATGGCCTGTTGCCGATTCTTGAACTTTTCGTGACTTGATTCACAAGGGATCCGGCCTTTGGAACCCGATCTTTCCATAACTGACGATTGATTGAGATAGCTGCTGTTCTTATTGCCAGGAGGTTAAAAAAGTTAAGAGGTCGTAACTTCATCAGCCAATCATTGACGGCCTTTCAAGCAAAATCCACCAATCATAGACAAGAAATAGAGCGTAAGTACTTTCGTTCACTAAGCGAATTTTGAAAGTATGGCCCCTGGTCCGTACGCTGCTAGACATTTTAAGACTGAACATATGTTCCTGCATAGCTCCGTCTAGTCTGTTTTTGAAGGCGTTCATACTCGGAGCGTCAACGATGCTATCAGGGAGGCTGATCCACATGTCGGTGACTCGAAGCGAGAAGAAATGTTGTCGCATGGGTGTGTTACAACGCAGTTTTTTTAGTTTATAGCCGTGGCGCCTGGTGTTGGTTATTGTTTCAAATTCTAGTAATCCTTCTGGGACTTTGTATAAGCCATGAGTATACTTGTATACTTCAATGAGGTCCCCACGCAGACGTCGATAACTGAGGCTTGGAAGCTTCATAATCTTTAATCTTTCCTCATAGGACTTGCCTTTCAAGCCCGGAACTATTCTTGTTGCGCGTCTTTGAACACTCTCTACTAAATTTCTGTCCTTTTCAAATTTCGGTGACCATACGACGTTTCCAAACTCTAGGTTCGGGCGCACGACAGCAACAAACAACTGCTTCATCGTTCCTGCATCTAGAAACTCGAAAGAGCGTCTGATCAGTCCAAGTTGTTTATTTGCTTTATTAACTTGACCTTCAATATGCTTATAAAATTTCAACTCAATTACGATATTAACTCCTAAATCTTTTTCCATTGTCGACTTCGACATCATCACTCAGTCGTTGCCACCGTGTCTTCTCATACTGTAATCTTGCTGTTCATTATGCTTGCCAAGGTGGATAACTTTACATTTGTCAGCGTTAAAACGCAGCTGCCACTTATCAGCCCATTCAACCAGCCCGTCAAGATCACCTTGCAACTGTACTTTTTGCGACGTATTCTTCACTGTATTATAAATTTTTGTGTCGTCAGCATACATCGAGCAAACGCTAGACACAGCTTCTGGCAGATCGTTTATAAAAGCAACGAATAAAATAGGCCCGAGAACGCTTCCTCGTGGCACGCCGCTGCGCACTGAAACCCAGTCTGATACGGACCCATTAATACTTACACGTTGTCGCCTCCCTACTAGAAAATCTCTGATCCATTAGAGTACATTACTCTCAATTCCCAAGGACCTAATTTACGCAACAGCCGCTCATTTGGGACACTGTCAAATGCCTTGGCAAAATCAAGGTACAATGATCTACTGGCTCCCTTTCGTCCAGCAGGCGGGTCAATTCGTTCAGAGTAGACAAGAGGTTAGTGGTGCAGGATCTCCCGGCAATAATGCCATGTTGACAGTCTTATAGGAAATTATTAGCAGTCAAATGATCTATCAATCGATCCATCACAACAGATTTCATTACCTTGCAAACGACACTTGTCAATCTGACAGGGCGATTGCCCGGCAGCTTTTGTCACCTTTTTTGAACAATAGTGTCACTTGAGCTTCTTTCCAGTCAGCCGGCAAGATCCCTTCGTTCAAAGTTTTTCGAAAAAATGACGTCAGAGGGCCGGCTAGGACAGTTTCTAACTCTTTGAGTAATCTGGGGTGGAAGCCGTCCGGTCCACATGACTTGCTTGGATTTACAGCGATAAGGCGCTTGAGAATCTCTTCTTGTATTTTAACACATGTTAATTCAGAGCCGACTGGGCACTCCTCAATAGCTGGAATGCTGTTCAAGTCCTCTTCAGTGAATACGTTGCTGGAAAAAATGATTAAGTACGTTAGCCTTGCCCTCATCAGAGGATAGGTATCTTTCGTTGATCTACTTTTAAATCAGAAATACCGTCCTTCATCTTGCATTTCGAGCTAGCATACAAAAATGAGGCTTACGGGTTCTTTTTTGCATTTTTAGCAATACTTTTTTTTTTCGAGGGTTTTTACTGCGGTACGACAGCTTTCTTTAGCTTGATTTCGAGCTCTTGCGTATAGGTTATAGTCAGCATCGGCACAAGTCTGTAAATAACGCTAATAGGCTTCCTTCTTTGTTTTCAGCTTAGCTAAAACTGTTCTGTTCATCCACCGAGTTTTTTTTACTCCACCAAGCTTAATTTTAGGTACACACGCATCAACTGCAGACATAACCCTGTCCTTGAGAAATGACCATGGCCCAGCTACATTCATGTCCTTAATACGGTTCGAAATATTCACTGAATTCACTGCTTCACGGAGTTTATCATAGTCGCCTTTCGCAAAATTCAAACGCTCACGCTTCCGAGGCGTCTTTTCTGTACAGCACTTAAGTCTGAAAAACAATGATTGGTGATGGCTTTTGCCCAACGGAGCCTCGTGGCGAAGCTCATCTAACATTGATTCATCACTAGTAAACACCAGGTCTAGAATATTGGGAGTCTGTTTACTTCTATAATGGGTTGGTTTGGTAACGTGCTGGACTAGGAAAGAGTCTCTCACTGCCTCCTTAACAAGGATGCTGGGTGATTCTCTTCCCTTTGAGAGGATCCATCCATCCAGTCTAGCTCTGGATGATTAAAATCACCAACGATCGACTTTTGTGACCTACGGAAAGTCATGCTCGGTAAAAGATTGTTTAGTACTTTATCGTTATCAGAAGAACTATTTGGTGATCTATAAACAAAGCCTTTGAGGAGGCTATCTTTGCCTTTTAGAGAAAGTTCGCACCACATTGATTCTCTAGCTGATTGATGTTCTGCAGATAACTTGACTTGCTGGGCCCCATAAGAGGTTCTAACCCACAAAGCTACACCTCTACTGCACTGCTCTTCATTTAAGTTATGAAAACAATCAAAACCTGACAACTGAAATTCAACAGGTACAATTTTCCCCCCGGGATTTTTAGGGAGTGTTTCTGTAATACAAATAATGTCTATGCACTCGTTTTCAGTTAATAGTTCACTTATTTTGTTTAAAACGTAATCCGAGTTCGTGTAAAAACATTTTCAAGCTTTTTGTGCACTTTCACTTTGATGCATGCGTTTACTTCTCACATTATTTACAGGCCTGGATCTATGGACATGATTTCTTACTTGTTTTTCAGCTCCGCTGACTGACCGTATATGCGGCCGGTGTTGTCTTGACATCGTGAGAGTGGTTGACCTGAGTCTCCATGCTTTTCCGCCTGAGTCTCTCCTGCAATTTCTTGCGAAAATTTCCTCTCTCTAAAGGGATAGCATCCTTCTTAACGAAGACTGAATTTAACTCTGGGAATTCACTTAGTTTTTTCGCAGCCTTGAACACATGTCCGACCTGGGCTGTATCCTGCACCAGCAGCGGTCTACAGGTGGTAGCGTCTTTCGATAGCAGCCTCTTGCATGCCGTTAAATTCACAACGACGTTTAGTGCCTTGGCACAACAATCAGTTATAAATGCAGCATCCGAAGCATTGCTTTCTGGGAACGTTAAACCAAACAAGGTTAAGTCTTCTTCTCTCTCTATTCAGCAGTTCACGAGTGCTCTCGCTGGCGAGATTAGAGATGACCTTTTTGCGGCCTTTGCCTTCTCTGTTATCGCTATTTTCTATTCTGTGCAGATGAGCTTTCATTCCCACCAGCTCGTTTCGTAACGAGTGTAATTCGCTACGCAACAAGCTTGATTCTTTCCTGTGGTTCTCCTCCTATTCGGCTCTTTCTCAACTCTTACTTGTTGGTTTCTTCAATTTTGGCCTTAAAGACTGAAAACATGGAAAAGCACTTCTCTTCCACTATCTTTTCGCTTTTTACAGCGCTAAGTGCAGGTTGTTGGCAGTCCTGGCAATACCAGTGTACTGACTTGCTTTTGCGAATAACCGAGCAGTCTGTCTTGCTCAACTTTGCACAATTGTTGCAGATGATATCCCCGCAACGATCACAGGCGATTGTAGCATCATTGATGTTAAGCGATACCAGCTTGCAAAATTTACAAATTTCCCCTCGCTCATTTTGCGATTTGATCTTCGCATTCGGTTTAATAGGACTGGAGGCCTTTTCAATTAATCTCTTTCCTCTCTGCCCAGCCATCATGAAATGCAAGAGCTAAAAAAACACAAGTTAAAACTGAATCAAGTTGAGTAAAAATTGTAAAGTTTCCAAAGTGCTGTAAAAACTCGGTTACAGACTTGAGAATAAGCGGCTTTCAGAAAGCGGCGATGTCAGCGGCGGTAAAGGTGTTCAGGGTAGAGGAGGTGAGCTTGGACATGAAACAAAGGCTGTATTGTTCTACGCTGGCTAGGCAGTGCATGTTGCCCTCGCTTGCTAGCGACCCTCACTGACTCTAAAGCTCGCGTTATTCAAGATGAAAACACTTCTACTATAGGTTTGATCTTTCTATTCGCACTCCTTTTTACTGACTTCACTGAAAATTCTGTCATTCAGTGACACGGATCATAAAAAAATGCGAAAAGAGTTCCGAAAAC